ATAATCCAATACATCATTTACTAATGCTATCTAGAACTAGATACATCATAGGAGGACACTGTGGTTATGAAAGAAGGGGAGGGCCGGGGAGGGGGGGGGGTTATAATGTAGTCTTTTTGGTGTATTTTTATGGTGAACAAAACAAGTCCGGGTGGGAGGGGGGGGGGGTCAAAAAAAATTTAAAAAAGGTATTAATATTTTTTCAAAAAAGGGGTTTTTAAGGGGGGGGGCACAATGTTGCCAAAGGGGGGACCAAAAACTTTTTTTTGCGTCCTTACGCACGCACATTGTGCCCCCCCTAAACAAAAGCCCTCGTACGCCCCTGCAGTACCACTTCTCCCTTAAATCATCAATCATAGAATACATTCAAGCACATCTACATTCAACTTAAAACATCTTTTCTTTTCCCGGAGATTTAATTTTTTCCATTAAACCTCCAGTATTCAACAGTGTTAAATCAGATCTTCCTTTTAGGGTTAAAGTTACTTAAAACCATGCAAGTCCGATTTTACGACTGTTGAAGAAAATTGAAAATGTACATGATATTTCATCAAAATAGTTGCGTAAATTTCATTAAATCAGCTGTAATTCCTGTAATGATGTGCCGACACTTTAATTATTCGGGATGGTGATAACACGGAGCAGAATACCCGAAAATTACCCCTATAAGAATCCCCCAAATATCCCAATAATACTCCCTATTAGACAGATTATTTAGCATAGAAACTGTACCATGGAAATATTTCTCTAATCTTATTCATGTGGGCAACCCTTAAAAGGACGGAGAAAAGATTTGAACGGGACTTTTTACGATCGATCTGGAGCCTCAAAGAGGGGGGACGCTTATGTTAATAGCTAAATGTTTTCTCTAATTATGATTATTATCTTGAATGCCGCAACTTCGATATATAGTTCTCTATCCGCTAAACTACAGAGCCGAGAGGTCTGAGAATGCGCAATACCGTCAAAACTTATCTCTCTCACAACAACAGCTGTCAGAGAAGAGAAGAAATCAGGAAATGGTAGACCAGAGATAGACGAGTTAACTGTGTGCCTAGAATTGGCCCTAGATAGTTTTTACTTTGCATGAGATAATTGGAGTTTTAATCTCAACTAATAGATAAAGATGAATTTAAAGGCGTCATCTCAAACTCTTCTTAATCCATAAGTCCCAGAGATAAATTACTTTTGGGCCTCAAGTTTATTCCTGGACTAACAGTTAAGATCACAGTAGATACACAATACATAAATAAAATAATAAAACCTGCCGAATCCATTGCTAAATGAAGCTGAAAGCTCATGATTCTAAGAAGTAATCCTGTGAACCCTGGCAAATGCACGAACCTGACCTGAAGTGCATACTGGAGCACGCGCGCGCAAAAAAATGGATACCATGCATGAGAGTCAGTAAACTTTATTCTTAGACGTGGATTGGGCGGTCGTCTTTATAGTGTAACGAAATTATAAATGCAATCCTTTCTTTTGTTCATATCTCTTTAAATCATTCAGGGGCGTTAAAAAACGTTAATTAAGGTTAAACCCCCCTTTAGAACAAGTTTCAAAATACGCTTCTGAAGAATGACAGTGAGACTCATGAGACTTTAGAGACAGAATTTCTTTCGTACAATCACGGTTTCCTCCAGTTTTAAACACTTGTTTCTTTCTTTGTCCAATGTTTTGTAATAAACCCTGTATTTGGAATCAGAGCCTCATCTTAACCTGGGGGATGTTCCCCCCCCCCCCCTATTCCTCCATTCACATCAGCTGCATCTCTTGTTTATCTTGACATTATAAAATTAGATGAACTTAAACATTTGATAAGATTTTTAGAAGTTTTAATTTTAGAAAGAGAAAAGGAAGACGACTTTATTATATACTTTAATGTGAATTAATTTAACTTAATCTAACTTATTATATTTATACAGTCTGTTCTAAAGATATTGTATAGCAATTAGCAAATGTTGGCATAAACAATTAGTATATAATTCTAGTTTCTTTCTTATAGATCTAAAGAAATCCGATACCTGAATGTCGTCGTATCTATTCGATCTCTCTAGTTTAATATCGGAATTTTGCCTCGGAATTTCATGTTTCCAGTTTGACTCATTTGATGATATATGGAACAACGTTTAAATTGGTATTTTACTCAAAAAAATATCTAATCTTCATCAATGAATTTTAAACGAAAAGAAATGCATCGAATCTTTACCTTCGGAAACCAGAAAACAGTGACTTTTGTCGTCTTCTTTTTTCTTTTATATTATTTTAATCAGGCCCGTACCAAAGGGGGGGGGGGTGCAATGGCGAATCTTCATCCCATCTTTTTAAATAAGTTGCTTGGTATAATCTTCTCTTGAAAAATTGAGATATTAGCATTCAAAGTTTTCAAAATTGTTATCATTCATGTTTACTGCAGTATAGTGTATATAATGCTATTTCTGAAAAATTCTTTACAAAAGCTGTTCTCTCAGAACAGAGATAAGATTTGTCCTGAGGTAAGATTTTCAGAGTGAACTGATTGTTGTTCTTTCGCATACATTGATATAATCATATACAGGGTGTCCCACGAAACATGAAAATAGCAAGACGACATTGATATAATCATATACAGGGTGTCCCACGAAACATGACAATAGCAAGACGACATTGATATAATCATATACAGGGTGTCCCACGAAACATGACAATAGCAAGACGACATTGATATAATCATATACATACGTCATACATGCAATTTAACAAATATGTTTCAGATGTTTCAGTATGTAATTATGTATAAAAATATCATTCTTCAAATTTTGCAGAAACATTGCCTCAGTTTCAATATTTTGTCCAGACAATGCAAAATCAGTTAACGTGAGAAGTAATATAAAAATTATCAAAATGTTCTGTCTTCCAATATTGCAAAATGTGAGCTAAAAACTATATTCAGAAAAATTCTCCTTGTACCATGAAAAAATCAAATTTAGGGAAAATCGAATTTTCACTTCAACATTAAGTTAAAGCTTGAATTACTATAATGTTGTGTATTGTGAATTGTTGAAAAATTAGAAAAAAAACTACATAGCATAAAATTCAAGCTGAAATTACTCGTTTTTATACCAAATTTATGAAAAATTTTATTTTTTAAAAATCCTGAGCGATATTTCATGCAAAAGAATTACCGAAGACAACATTCAATCAACAGTTTTTGTCTTCCGGCAACATGAGCCACAACCACACAGTCTTCAATCCCACAGCATCTGAGTCTTCCGACAGTCATTAGGTTTTTAAATGATAAATTTAGTGCATTGATCTTTAATAAACTTCTGAAATTTCTTTAAGGCATCATCTTTCGGGTAAGGCGGCAGGATTTTAAAATATTGAAATTTTAATACCCTAAAGTTATCATTTAAAAACGTAATAATTGCCGGAAGATTCAAATGCTGTGACATGGAAGACCGTACGGTTGTGGGTCATGGCTGTCGGAAGACAAAAAAGATAATATATGGCATGGAAGGGGAAAATGTTGTGGCTCATGGCTGTCTGCCTTCTTCCGCTCTTTATAGTAGTGGTTTCCAAGTGAGTTACAACTTACTATAAGTCTAGATCGCAAAGTAGAATTCCAAACTGGAAACATTTAAACAATGAGATAACTATCCAAATAAACTTTTTCTTATTGAAATTATTTCTTTTAATTAATTAACAATTTGACGTAAAAAGTTGAAATTATACCTTTCATCTGTGAAAAAATAAATATTTTTGGTGATCTGAAAAAAAAGAAATGTTTGACAATAAACGGCAATTTTTTCATCATTTTTTATTCTTTTTACCCAAAAATTCAGCAAATTAAACCTTAAAAATTGTTTTGATACTCCGCGTAAACATACCTAATTCTTCTGGAACTGGACATCAAAAGACATGTTTTTATCCTCTTTGATATTTCATACCCAACAATTCAGCGATTGAAACCCTACATTTTTTTGCTGCTCCGCGGAAACATATCTAAAAATCATCATTGAAAGGAGGGGAAAGATTTTTCAATAAATTTTCACTCCTGATTTTAGTGATATTTAATAAAAAACTACATGTTCTAAACCAAGCAAAGTCTAAGTAATAAGTATAAAGATGTAAGGTTCTTTTACATTCAATCTTTTTTTTCAAAATAGGCGTAAGGCACAGTCATACAACATTGGATTCCTCAGGTAATCATTTAAAGGGATTGTTCTCCTATCTATATAATAAAGGGATTGTTCTCCTATCTATATAATAAAGGGATTGTTCTCCTATCTATATATTAAAGGGATTGTTCTCCTATCTATATATTAAAGGGATTGTTCTCCTATCTATATATTACATTAGAAGGTCATACACTGTATTTGTTGCTACTATTGTATTCCCTGGGTTCCTAGCTTTCGTTTGATATGCATAAAGCCATAGTTGAAATATTTTCTATTTGTGGAGGTCATTAGAGGGGGGGTCCAAAAATCGTATACTAGGACAGACCCTATTAAACAATGACTGGAGATATTTAGTAATGCTTTGTAAAAAAGATAGTTATTTCTGAACTGTTGTTAATGACCACTGTCGTCCGACTAAAAAGTGTCGAGAATATTTGTTCAGTGTGCCTTCCAAGCATTGAAATTGAGACTAAGACTAAATCTTTGCCCTCTCTATTGTGATTGCTAACATATGGATTGGCTTAAGACCAATAAATAACGATAATACATTAGCTTTGTCTTAGAAATTATTATTATAACTATACTAATTATCCTGAACTCTTTTCAGAGATATTGTTTTTATTCTCAATTTTAAACAGCGCGGCCATAGTTATCGTTCAAATAAATATATAATCGAAAACTTCACAAACATTTGCAATTTATTTTATTTTTGCACATTTAACTGCCTATTTGCAATCGTTACCTGAGGCTGAAGTTAAATTTAAAGTAGTAATGATTATTCTTGAACTGATGCAGTTAACGATAAGGTGGAACTTTAATATAGGAAATTTATTTTTCAGATGCCTGGCTTTTAATCTGCTAGGTTTATGATAACTATGGGAAACAGCAGTACGGAGAGGCTGGGGGCTACGGCCGCTGCCCTTCTGGGGGCTGCTGACAGTGATTCTTCGTCTACCCTTGAGAAAGATGGGGATAACTTCCCGGATATAAGGTAAAGGAGTGCTGGGACGACACCAAGCGGACTCGGTTAATTTCTAGTAATTTAGGAAATAACAGTTGTTCTTAACATTAATTTTCAAGGTATTTGATGATTTATCAATATAGGAAGTCCAATTTCTAATACGAAAACTTGATTAATTACGGTTTATTAGAATAGAAGACTGGAATATTTTTCCAGATACAAGTTAGAAAAACTGGATTATAATTAAGATTTTCAGATTTTAAAGAAAAGAATTTACAAAGGGGATGGTGGAGTTGGCACATTTGATGTAGGGGGGGGGGGGCCCTGCCTTCATTTTTGGTTCAAATCTTCCAATTTTTTGGGTGCGCGCCTAATTAGGGTTCGAAATTCCTATAATAAAATAAAATTGAACTTTAATGACCTCTAATGACCTCTAATGACCTCTAATGACCTCCACCAATAGAAAATATTTCAACTATGGCTTAATGCATATCAAACGAAAGCTGGGAACCCAGGGAATCCAGTAGCAGCAACAAATCCAGTGTTTGACCTTCTAATGACCTCTTACGACCTCTAATGACC